CTCTGGCTGGAGTACAGTGGCAGGATCACAGCTCACTGCAGCCTCCACCTCCTGGGCCCAAGTGATTCTCCCGCCTCAGCCTCCTGAGTAGCTGAGACTAAAGGCATGCCCCTACCATGCCCAGCTAATTTTTAAATTTTTTGTAGAGACAGGGTCTCACTATGTTGCCCAAACTGATCTTGAACTCCTGGCCTCAAGTGATTCTCCCCCCTCAACCTCTCAAAGCACTGGGATTCCAGGCATGAGCCGCTGCCCTGGACTTGCACCAGTACTCTTGATTGACTTCTTGGTAATGGCCCCCCGTTATTAGTGGCTACATTAGTTCAGAAAGGATTTGCACAGAGGCCTGTTTTGAAACATGTGCTTTACTCTGGATCTGAGATCAAGAAAGCCCTGTGAAAATGAATACCAAATTCTCTGTCTGGGCCATGGCTCGATCCTCCTGCTGTGGCCTCCTAACGTGCTGGGATTACAGGAGTGAGCCACTGCGCCCAGCATCAGTGAGTTTTCATCCTTCATAGAGCTGTGCCACCATCACCACAATCCAGTTTTAAAACATTTCCATTGCCCCAAAAAGATCATTCATGCCATTTGCAGTCAACCTCCACTCCCATCTCCAACCCCAGCTACCACTCATCTTGCTGTGTGCACAGATTTGCCTTTTCAGGAAGTTTCAAATAAAAAGAATCAAACAATATGCGGCCTTTTGTATCTGGCTTCTTTCATTTAATGCTTTTGAGGTGTATCCATGTCGTAGTGAGTATCACGTGTATATCTTGTATACGCAGGAATATCTGTCTCTTTGCCATCGAGGAGGACGCCATCGCATGAAGGTCCTGCATTTTGTTTTTCTGTTTCTCAGTTGACGGTCACGTGGGTTGTTTACAGGTCTGGGCTAGTACAAATAATGTCACTATGAACATCTGTGTCCAGGTCTCTGTGTGGACACACACGGCTAATTTTATAATCAAAAAACAAAACCAAAGGGCCAAAATGAATTCTGGAACTGTTTCTGGAATACATTTCCTCTTACCAAAATGGGAATTCTAAGAGTGGGGCAGGAAACGTAAAGTAGGAGAGAAAGAAGCGGGCTCGCAGCGGCCTTTCCCCTCCTCGGATTCGGGAACGAAGGGGCACGATTGTCCCACTCTGGGAGTGGCTCATATTCGCACAGTTCATCCAAAGCTCCGGAACACGCTCAACATCCCGTCTGCCCCGCGGCACCTCTGACATCGATCTCAACCCGAACACCCACCCCTCTCGTGAGTCCCTTCGTTCACGGGCAGCAAATGAAGGACATCCCACTTCCCTGCCCCGCTGCATGTAGTGAGAGCAGGGGTTTGAGTTTGGAGGACTGTGGAGAAAAGCCCCAGGCACCAGTGTCAATTCAAGGGCTGAGACTTTAAGGTTTAGCAATTCGAATGTTTCAGCTTCCCAGTGCACAAAGGTCAAAGGTTGCAGTTATGGAAGGAAAAGGATCAGAAAAAAACATAGAAAATAGAATCTGGGCCGGGCGCGGTGGCTCAAGCCTGTAATCCCAGCACTTTGGGAGGCCGAGACGGGTGGATCACGAGGTCAGGAGATCGAGACCATCCTGGCTAACACGGTGAAACCCCGTCTCTACTAAAAATACAAAAAACTAGCCGGGCGAGGTGGCGGGCGCCTGTAGTCCCAGCTACTCGGGAGGCTGAGGCAGGAGAATGGCGTAAACCCAGGAGGCGGAGCTTGCAGTGAGCTGAGATCCGGCCACTGCACTCCAGCCCGGGCTACACAGCAAGACTCTATCTCAAAAAAAAAAATAAATAAATAAATAAAAAAAATAGAACCTGGTTCTATAAGCAGGAAAGAGATGCAGGAAACAATTCAGAGGAAAAGAGGCAAAAAGTAAACTGGCACTACAAGCTGGGGTGTCTTATTCAACAAGAGAAGCAAACGGACAGCACATTTTGGGGGACAATGTTTAATACAAGTAGATATTCATGATTTTTAAGCACTTTGGGAAAATCTGGTGTTAATGGATATTAATGAGGACACCTGTCTTGTTTATTGATTACAGCAGCTCTCCACTGGAAGTTCCTGTAGCAACTCGAGCTACGTCCTGGGTATCTAAGGATCCAGGTGATTGCTGGAACCTGCTGCAGAGGTTGCAACCCTGCCTCTTTCTTTCGGACCCTCAGGTTGCCCTAGTGACTTTTCTCCACACCTCTTTGCGTGCTATCTATGGGACATAGAGTTTGAACCTCTCTCTCTCCTTTTTCCTCTCCTTGCTTTGGTTTAATCCATCATTTCTAGGTGCATGACAACATTCCCTAACTTAACCCCCCTGCTTTCCTATTTCAGCTACTGTCACAATGATCTTAATACCATTAGGTATCTAGCACTTGGCAATTTTCAAAGAGCTTCCGCTAGATCCTCGCTTGGAATCTTGTGATACAGGTGAGATAGCTAGGAGTGTCTCCTTTTTAAAGGAAATCATGGCAGAGAAGTTCAGTGACAGCCCAATATTACACAATCATAAAGTGGTGAGACCAGGAGCAGGGTACAGGTCCCCACCCTGGTGCAGTGAAAGGGTGGGGCACGTAAGTTCTGAAGTTTCAGGCAAGTGTGCTGTGATGGAATGTGTTAAACTTAGGCTAACAGAGAATAGGGAAGGGCTGTAACAACTCATAATAGGCCTACAGAATACCTTCAAACCCATGAATTTGTATTTTAAGAACATATACGCTTGTGAAGAGTTTTCTAACTCATTTTTAAGTTTTCTAGACGTCTTATCCACATACTTTTTTTTTAAGGCATTGAGATCTTGAAATTGAAATGTAGATAGAGTTGTGGGGTAAAGAACTTCTGTTGAGGCCAGGCACAGTGGCTCAAGCCTGCAATCCCAGAACTTTGGGAGGCCAAGGAGGGTGGATCACTTGAGGTCAGGAGTTCGAGACCAGTCTGGCCAACGTGGTGAAACCCCGTCTCTACTAAAAATACAAAAAATTAGCCAAGCGTGGTGGTGGGCATCTATAGTTCCAGCTACTCAGGAGACTGAGGCAGGAGAATTGCTTGAACTGAGGCAGAGGTTGCAACGAGCTGAGATGGTGCCATTGCACTCCAGTCTGGGCAACAAAAGTGTGATTCCATCTCAAAAAAAAAAAAAAAAAAAGCAAAAGGAAAAGAACTTCTGTTGAATGATGATTTGCAAAAATATGTCTGCAATCTAGTACTGAGTACTAATTTTATGGGGCAAATAGCTCTTTATTTAATCTTATGACCTTGTATAAAATCTTGCCCTAAACTAAATTCAAATGTATAGCCATTAATATTTAATGATACAATATTGGTGCTAGGTTAACATTTACCAAAAAAAAAAAAAAAAAAAAAAAATTCCCGAAAGGAACATGTTTGGAATTGAATATCAACCCATCAATTAATTGTTGTGTTTATTCTGATGCTATTATTTCCAAAAGCACAAGACAAAAGTCCTGTATCACAAAATAATGTGTACTGTTTACAAGAGGTATTAGAAATTAAGATGTTTTTATTTTGACTATTTGAGAGTAAAATTGTAGGTAATGTTCCAAACCATCATCAAAGACGCAGAGCAAACTGTTCTGTATAGAAACTGTACATCAAACAAGGCACTATACATTTTGGGGGAGATATTAAGGTAGAACGGCTGATTCGCACAGATTCTCCAGAGTCCATGCCATTAAGTACAAATTCGTTGTTCATTTTAGCACCGGAAGCAGTACTCAGAACAAGTCATACCTAATGCTGCAGGAAACGTTTCCAAACGTGTATGAAGATACGTATTGGTGGCAGAGCTAATTCAACAGAAGCAACTCCATCTACCTTTTCATATTATTTTGACATTAAAAAAAATCTTGAAAGTGAACGAATACATATTGCTTTGTTTGACTTTTATGGTGTTTCTATAAATATACATATATTTTAGAATCCACAAACTATCAAAATAACACTTTATAAAGAGAACTGCTTCCAAAAAAAAAGAAAAAAGAAAAAAGCATTGCTTAGTTGGAACAAGAAGGCAGTGCTATCTACAGCAGCTGCGGCTTAAGTGCACGTAACATACTTTTATTAATTCTGATAATCTGCTGAATGGTGGAAAGAAGTTCCCAAATAGTTCCCTTGAACGTTTACAAAACACAACTCCCAGACAAGTGGTATCTTTAACAATGTCAGGTTCTGAAAACTCTGATTGAAAGATACTTTGTGGAAAACACCAGTCCAAAAATATATATCCATTTCCCTGGTACTGGACGTGACTCCGAGGTTCCTCTGACATCTCCCCACTCAGAACAGGCCTGCTGTTTTCTTCAGGTTCACCTGCTTCCAGGAGGGCAGGGCATTGTATTCTTTCCTTGTCATGTCTAGTGCAAACTGGAAACATTGGGAGAAGCGCCCCGCGGCTCAGTGAAATGAGCTGGGCATGTGTGTGTTGTTTTACTCCCATCCCCACCCCACCGGAAGAACCGCTTACCTCGAAGTCTTCATCGGTGAGATAGATCTCAAGCTTCAGAGGATCGACCCCCTCCGGCAGTGGCCTGGCCAGGAGGTCGGCCAGCGGGTAAATGGTTTTACAGAGCTTGGCTAAGACGTCTTCCACGAGGGTGATCTGATTGGAAACTTCTGTGTCCTAGAGAAGAGAAGGGGGCAGAGAGGAGAGCTTGTGGCCTACATCTGAACTTGTTTCATTAAGTGCTTGCAAACACAGCCCTGTGCCATCTGCACACAGCCTGAGGACGCATGGCTCCATATCACTGAGGAGGAAGCGTCTCTGAAAGATAAGGGATTGCCCAAAGCCCTGCAGTTGTCCAGACTCTTAATTTTTAAAATTTTTAAATTTTAAATTAAAAAATGATATTTTTTGAGACAAGGTCTCACTCTGCTACTCAGGCTGGAGTGCAGTGGTGCAATCATTGCTCACTGCAGCCTCCAGTTTCTGGGCTCAAGTGATCCTCCTGCCTCAGCCTCCTGAGTAGCTGGGACTATGGGTGTGGTGCATCACCACGTCT